CAAGGCTCAGGCTCCCATGCCGTTCACTAAGAAAGGGTCTCCTTGCACGAAGTCTCAGAGCACGTATGCTTTTGAGATGTCGTGTGAACCACATAACCCAAAAAGGATTTCTTATTTTTAAACCGGGTCATGACTTCAATAACTTTCATATTCCCAGCTGACGAGCAGAGATCTCACAAACAGCAGGGACACCACAGCTTGAGAGCTTTCAGAAGCCGCTATGCCAGCACCAGTGACCATCCCCAATGACAGAGCACTCTTCGCAAGTTACTCACGTTTAAGCAGCGTAGGAGCACTGTGTCTCCTCCTTTCAGCAGGGAGAAGGTGCTTTTCTAATGAGCATTTATCATTTTATTTTCCAAACCTTTGTTCATAACCCAGCCACTGAGTTCTCACTAGACTGACTTTTACCATGCAAGGAACATAGGTAGGGAACTATTTTTAAATAAACACTTAAATTAAAAGTACTACCTTTAAAGAGAGGCTTCAGTATCCCCTTTGACTGACTTCACACTAGAAATGTGCCAACAGGGCACAAGACTGCATTTGCTTTAAACAGGCTACCTCACAAAGGGAATGACTGCTTACTTTTCTCCAGGTTAATAAGAACTCATAGCATTTACATAATTTACAACAGATTTCACACTTGCAGAGCAAGAGTGTTTTGGTTCCAAAGAACCAAAAAAAAAACCTAACAAAAAAGTCCAAAACACATCGCAGATTTACATGCAGCTGAGGCCTAGCTGATTCACTTTTGTCACCGAAAAGAGGCCACTTGTTGGGTGATGCATGGCAACAGCCTACACTAACCAAGGACAGTGAGCCTGTCTGTTTATGGCACTGAAGGGAATTCAAAGCTTGGATTTTGAACCAGAAAGATCACTCCTGAGCAGTGCTTTCCCCAGAGAGATGTCCTCACAACTTGCAGATGCTGTGCAGTCAACACCAAATATGTGCTGAAGCCTGCAGTATACTAAAAGTATGCTTATTCTATATTGCAAGGGTCTGATAGTAAATCTGTCCCTGAATAGCATTTACTGGAGAAGGAGAATTTCAGACCAATTTTAGTCACAGAAATTAAAACAGATTATACCAGAAAAACTATGGGGACAGGACTGAGCTGCTGCAAACTATGCAAAGTTTGTTCATGTCAGCAGGTGAGGAGTAACCGTGCAGTCGATGGAGTTATCTGTGAAATTTTAGGATCATCTTTGTGTATTTTGCCTAACAAACTTACCAAAGTCAGAGGTCAGTTTGGAAGGCAGGCTGAGGAGTGCCAGCCAGGGGTATCTGAGCCTGCTTCCCAGGGTCATGTGCTTACAGAGAAGTGCCAAACTTGGGTATTGGGTTTGTGCTGACCATTTGCATGTTCACAGACTTTCAGTTCTACGCGTAGCCTGGGATCGGTGTCATTCTAATAATAAACTTCTGTACGGCACATAACAGCTCTAAATTTCCATTATGCCCTTATGAAGGTCATCATAGGCAAGAAGATGACGTGGGGAAGTGGAAACATAATACCAGTGCTTCTCTCATTCACAGGCAGGTATTTCACTACTTAAGGCAAAAAAAAAAAAAGAAAAAGAAAAAAAATATTCTCATATGCAAGTCTGCAAGGTAAAAGCACAGTACTTGTATATTGCTTAGATACTGGATTTAACAAAGAACAAGATAATATGAGACCAGGAAGGAAAGCCAAAAATAGCAACCAGAAGGATTTAGAGATCAGTAAGTTTTTGTTCAGAAGCTGATCTAGCGTAAGAGTGAGTCAGGAAAGCATTTGATATAGAACACCCCTTTGAACAACCCTCTCCTTCACTAATCCCCTTCTACAGATGCACAACAAAAGCCATATTTCCATGCCGAAACATGCATACAGTACCTCTTAATTCTCTAACATGCCAATCAGGAGCAAAGTGAAAAAGGGAAGACAAAGGAATAAAATTAGGACAAGCACAACATAGAGACTCACATATTCAGTAAGACTCACTCATATTAATTAACATTTCTTTTAAGAAAAACATTCAAGTATATTTAGCAAACACAGTATCTTTGTAAAAAAAAAAAAAGTGAGCATGATAAAGATAACTCTAATAGCAGTGGGGGAAGAAGCCATGGTTACAGAGGAAATCTGACATCATAAATCATCACCAAAACACAGAGGAAGAATTGTTCACTGACAGTCAGCTCCTACTCCCACAGATGTCAGTGACAGAAGCTGCTGACGTCAGAAGTGTACATACAGATATGTAAAATGAGAAGGAATGAAACAAAATTATTACAACTGAGATTAAAAATAACACCTTGTCCTTCCTCCCATAGCAGAATTCATTTTCTAGTCTGTGCAACAATTCAAGTGCTGCCTAGATGAGAAGATGGATGGAGCTAACTCTTCCAAAATTGCTTAGTGTGTCAGGTAAAGATCTGAACTGGATGTTCTGGTCTCAGGCTTATACTCTATCCCAGAATCAGAGCAGACAGCCTTGTGTCCTAGTTTCTCACTTTTTGAAGCTCCTGAGATTGCCTTACAACTCCCTCGTTCTTCATCACCAACAGGTGGAAAAGTCTTCTTTGGCTACTCCATCTACTCCTCCATCTGTCAGATCAGTGGGACAGAGGGGAAGGGAAAGTAAGAGGATTTTATACTGACATCTGCAATGTGCTGGGCTCCTCTTCATATACAACACAAGTGTCTGTAGCTTCAAAACAAAGCCAACATTTCCCTATGTGCACTGCAGAGCACTCTCACCAGCCCAGGGCAGCTGAAGGCTTTGGTACACCCCTCTCTTTATCAGCCAGAAAGGTGAATCGCTAAATAAAAGCTGATCAGAATATGATGTCTGAGGAAAACTCTGATCAGAAGTATCTGCTTCCCTATTTTCTACAGAACCCTGAAACATCTTGAAGCTCTATTTTCCCTTCCTTTATTCTCCCCCTTTCTAGGTCCCTTTGCATGATTCCTTTTCTGGTGCTGTCCTAGTGACTTCTCTCTTCTGACCACCACCCTGCAAACCGAACAGGCCAGCAAGAAAGCACAAAGCAGGCCTGGTCCCTGCAAGGCTAGGCCATACCCTGGTACTAACTCTAGAAAACAAACCTCTTGGATGACCTTACATGAGTCCCAATTTGCTTTTAATATCAGCTTGGGAGTGATTTTCAACAGGGCTCTTTTCTGGATAAGCCTCTGTGGCTGACGTCATTTCCATTACCAAACAAATTATGGGCTTCCACACCGAGGCAAACTACTACTGAAAACATCTTTGAAAATGCCTTCTATTTCTTGTGAAACACCTTTGCCTTACCCCATACATCTAGAATAAATCACTGATTAGGAGGTGTCTCTCTAAGCTTGGGAAATCACTATTCAGTTTTTGCAATGCGTCTGTGAGGAAAGAAGCCAACTCCGTTGTTGAGCCTTTTATCCATCCAAAGTGGTTTTAGCATATCCATTTCCTATATATTTAGGAAATAAATCCAGTTCTCTTCTTATTGTAGAAGTGCCAATCAGATGTTTTAAGCATCCCTTTGGTGAAAGATCACAGCCTAGTGGCAGGAAAATGAAGGACGGGTCTGTTCCACTTCTCTACTTCCCAGTCAAGACAAAGGTGGACACAGAACTAACATCACCCCAGTTACAGCTGAAGGTTACTTCTGAACTGGTGATGAAAACTGAATGTTCAAGCAACCTATGTATCAATAGAAAATATTAAAGGAGAAACAGTGCAGTAAATGCCTTTTTTTTTTCTTTATATTTTAGGGCAACAGTATTGCTGTAAGCCTAAGGATATAAAGAAAAAGGTGGCTTGTAAGGAGTAACTGCTTTTCTTAGACCCACGGACACAGCTGGAAAAAATGATCAAGTTTTCATGCTCAGAATCTCCTTCTCACCTGAGACATTTTATGAGATACCTGGTGAAAGGCCCCAGCTTAAAGCTTGACTTCTGGACGTATCAGCTACATGAGCTGGTCTAATAAAAGACATTACTTCTCCTGCTGACCTCCTCTGTTATGAGACGGAGAGAGGGCAACAAAGGCTTCTGTGCTATGGGATCTGAGCCCTGTCTGAAAAAGGAAACCTGAGGAGTAGGAGAGGGGAATTCACAGTTTCACTACCCTTTTCTTAGCTTGTGATGTATCAGCCAGACTATCACCTGATGAGGGGGATGTGGACCTATGTAATTATACAACACCAAACGACTGCTTTTTTTTTTTTTATAAGACCACAACAGCTTCCCATAAATCTGCAGTCCTATGAACTGGGCTGAAAGAATAAACTCATATGCCACAGCCAGAGAGCCACCAAATGATGACAGCTATTCACCATCACTCCACTGATGAAGTTCTAATGAAAAGTCAACATCATCAAATGAATGGTGTCAGTGAGACAGAAGCTGTGGGGTAGTGGTTGTTTTGTATTGGTTTTTTAAAATCATTATTACTAATCTTTCAGGAGCAAGGATCAGCAAGATAATATAAAATATATAATAAATTGATATAGTAACTGTGTTGCTGATGCTCCAGGAAAGCAGCAGCACCAGCAACTGGGAAGTCACTTGTTAAGCACAGCAGTCAGAAATAAGAATAAGGATAGTCCTGACCCCTTCAGACTTAATACCTGCTGTGCCAGTTTCTTGTGGTTGTCAGTACAGAGATCAGGCATAAATGGCTGACACACAGGCCCTGAAAATGAGATGGATCTCATTCATCCTGCCTCCCACCAAGGGGACTGAATGCCTGTATTTGACTGGAGATTTGCCAGTTCTGAACTGTAAGAATTTGATGGAATTGCTATGAAAAAGAAAAGAAATAATTTTCAGACTTAAAAAAAAAAAACAAACCGACAAAAAACAACCCCAAAACAAACCCCAACTAGCCTAAAAGCCTCTGTAGCCTACTGGTAAGAGAAATAAAGTGGCACTCATGACCATCTGGCTAGTCTTGTCCCAGGCTCCTGCAACAAGCACCTATAACAAAGCCCTAGTACCACGAACGCTCTGTACCTGCATCTTCCTCTTGACAGTTTCAAAGGGGAAGGAAAGCGTCTGTGCCACAGCAGCTGCGACACAGCCATTGATGAAGTTCTGAAGGGGAGTGAAATGAACTATGGGTTCTCGCCAGATTTTGTCCAGGTTGATGTAAACAAAGAATGAGCCCGCAGAAAATGGGACAGCACCTAGAAAGCAAACCAGACAGAAGGTTTATATCAATGCAGTGTACACTAAGGAAACAGAGCTGCTCATCACATAACCTAGAAAGGTGGGATGAGCCACTGCCACTTTACACCTCACATTGCTCAAACCCGATCAACATTTCGAAGAACTTTAATCACTGGTTTACCACCAGACACCCATATTGTAGCACCTAGATGTGCTGATATTTACATATTAAAATGTGCATGTTGTCAGAATTATTAACTGCTTTAGTCTCATGACAGGGCAGCTCTTTCTCCAGGTTCTCCTTTTTGTGACAAGCTCTTTCTTCAGTCCAACCCAACCCTAGCAGTTGTACACAGCTGCCTCTTCAGTCAAGCTGATGAGGGATGCTTCTGTCCTCTTTTGCTTGTTTCATGCTCTCATCAATTTTTTAGTGCAATTATACATTACTATTATGCATTTTTTATAATGTCATATTGTGAAAAAGTGGACTGGAAGTGAAATAGCATTTCTAAAAGCTCTGTAAAGTAAATAAATAATTAAAAAGTCATTTAACATAAAGAGAGACTATCACTAATCTTCACTTTTCACATCAGTTACACATTACTGCTCATACTGTTTTCACTGAACAGCTGGGGACACACTCTCACACCTAGATAGGAATTAGGAACACTGTGTGTTTATATATGGTTTTTTAAGAGTTAAATGGTGGACATCTTGTATCCAAGCACAACTAGAACATCCATAAAAGAAATAACAGAGTACTATGTTGAACACTTAACCATACGTAAAATGCTACACACTTGGTCATAATTTGAAGCAATAAAGCTACAGCAGAGATAATCAGTACTATCGTGCCTTGTAAATCTAAATAACCTTCTACAGAATAACATTACTATTTGGTTTGAAATCACGTGAGCGAACACACTATATAGCTGCAATAAATAATATGCAATGAGGTAATTTTTCCCCATGATTATTTTACCTAATATAGCTGGTGAAACGCCACGGTAGAGTGCAAGGAGTCCTTCTTGATGGTAAATTTTGTAAAAAGCATGAAGAATTCCTTCGTAAGATGGTTCCAGTCGGTTCTGCACAATGAGCCGTGTTTTAATTACGTCAGTGGGGTAAGTCACGATGGTTGCAACCATGCCAGCCAGACTTCCTGCCATGATGGCTCTCCAGTGGGAAATATGACCCAACTCATCCGTGAAAAGTATAACAAGCCTAGAGTAAACACATAAAAGAGGCACTATTAATGACAGTAACAAGAAAACACATGAAAAATTAAGGCAGGTTATTCTTGGTGTAATCGTTCCCCTGCGCACAAGCCCATTTAGCAGTGGGAGCTGAAACTTTAATGTGTATTTAATCCAAGACCTTACTATATATAACACCACAAAAGCATCAGAACCTCTCTGAAACAGAACACGCGAACAGGCAAACACAAGCAGAGTCCAAAAAACATGCCTAAGAGGCCAAAGAGATTTTGGGTAAATCCACACTGCCCAGAAGTGCAAAAATGCGAAAGTTACAGGTAACAACTAAGTCAGGGACTGGAACATGTAACTCTGCAAATGCAATTTGCTTTGATTTTAGTGTTACTGAGCTAAAATACTTCCAATACCTGAAAGAGCTTTTTGAGATGCAGCTTGCCTAGCTCTACCTGCACCACAGTTCCCAGCACGGGCCAAGCTCACACAGCTTGAGCTGTGGTACCATGCTGGAGGTCCAGAGCACCAATTCAACAATGAAAAAACCTTCAAAGATAGGGAGACAGATTGTTCAAATTATTTACTTGTTTGCTTTGCAAGAGACTTTTAACGTAATTTTTGACCACTAAATCCTCATTTATATTTCCACTTACAGGATGAAAATTGCCATGACTTAGAACATATCTGCAAGAAATTCTCCATCAGTCATCAGCTAGAGACATTGGTCCAACCACCACCCAGTCAAACTTATCATGTAGGAAGACAGACATACATAGATAACACCATCACAGGCCTTCTGAGAACAACTGAACCTTTCTCTGTTGCTTGTGTTGGGACAGAAAGGCCCACAGGGATACTTCTCTAGAGAAGACTTATGTCCAGGCACTATTATGCTCAGGAGGTTAAGTTTAAATTTGAAATTTTGAAATTGAAGCACAGAGTTTTAAAGGGCTTTTCTATGTACACAGGGCACTCCTCCATCAGGCAGAAGCATCATGGAGGCAGCAAGAAACAAGTAAAGAGACTTGAGCAGGGAATCTGAGCTGGAAGTAAAGAAACTTCTTATTCTATTTTGGAAGCATTAACTAAACTGCCTAAACAGCAGATTTACATTCAAACCACATGCTGTTACCACATCCAGAACCAAATATTTTGCAAAGATTTGCAAGACACTGCTTGCTCAGTTGCAGTAGAAAATGCACAGTCACGCGAAAAAACATCATGACAGATCCCTGCATCTACTTGTCTCGTGCCCCGGAGAGAGCCTGGAGCAGAAAGACCAGCCAAGCAGAAGCGAAAGGGCATAAACTTATTTTGCTATGTGTCTCATACAGTCCCCAAAGCAACACAGCCTGATTTTCCTGTGCGTGCAGAAACGCATGGGGAGGGTGGTGAGGTGTCTCCAGGCACTACCCAGATAACATTTTACAACTGCCACAGAAAGACGGCGTCTGCGCGGGGTGACCGCAGAGGGAGTGCGGAGTCAGCTGAACCCCCACTTCCCCGTCCCGGGGCTGCTGACTGTGCCCAGGTCCCTCTGCAACTGGCATTACTAGTCACCTAAGTTACTGGGTAATGTCTCTCTCTTTTTGTGTTTCTGGCCTTTACATACACCATCCTCCTACTAAAAATATATTAAAAAAATTCTCAAATAATGTACCGACAAATATGCATAGGCAGTTCTCATTTAATTTCCTGGTAGCCTACTTCCCCACTTGTAATTCAAAAGAACACCCTGTGCACACTGGAGATAAACTACAGCCTTGCAAGGGGAAGACACCGTTTCAAGCTGAACAAACAATGAAGTTATTTTGCTCAAAATCAACTGGTGTATGCTGGTGCAACACACTGACTCTTCCAGGCACTTAATTACATTAAAATCACTGTTTCTGCTTCTCCACTGCCACTGTCCCTCCCCTGTTTGACCACCGTGCAGAAGGACACAACAAAGCTGCCCAACTCCATGGTCACTCCATCCAGGCTGAGCTGGGAAGGCTCTTGCTGGGCCAGATGAATGACAAACCCGGTCCGGCTGCGCAGCATCCACCCGGGCCAGCAGCGAGGTAGCCAAGTTGGCCAGCGTGGCCAGCTTCTCCCCACCCAGCAGGTCCCAGGCACCGGAGCAACCCATCACCCAGCCGGGCGGACACGTCAAGCGCATGGTGAGCACACAGCTGACCCCAGAGAGAGGGAGAGAAACCCAACCCTCCCGCTGGCAAAACACCCTGCGGCGTGCCAAGGGTCGGGTGCTCCTGTCAACACCAAAAGGTACTGGCAGCAAAAGGGAATCCCAGGAAAGGGACGTCAGGGCGGGCAGAGCTCCGTGTTGACCCCACCACAAGTCCTTCCAGCGTTTACCCCCATTTAACGTCTGTGTTATTATCAAAAGTAAGATCTTAAAACAAACGATGTCACATGTCGACTTTGTGACATTTAAAACTGATCAAATTTGCATAACAACCGCTGCGTAATAGGGTGAAAGATTTGAACCACGATTTTGATCTTATTTTCGTTGAGACAGACGATACAGATACTTGAAAAAATCTACATTAATAAAATGAATTGGCTGCAAAGAACAGATGTCACAGCCACATCTGTAGGCAGCACCGTAATTTCGTTTCTAAAGGAAGGAGGCTGAGCAGAAGAGATCTCTCAGACCCCCAACTGCGACTTCCCAAGCACTCGCTGGCTCTTCGCCAGCCCCTGGGAGCTGCTAAATAAACCAAATAAATGAAGTTATCAGCCGGGGTGCGCGTCTGTGGGGAGAGAGGACACGCAACCCGCTAGCCACCCAGCTGCGGCAGAGAGCCATTGAGGAGCCCCTTTACCGGGCCGAGCCCCCCCACCCCGCTCCTCCCCTCCCGCAGTGGGCAAGGAGGGCGGGAGCGCTGCCCGCCCCGCGGGGCCCCGTCCCGTCCCGGTGCCGGTCGCTTACCGGCGGGAGGCGGCGAGCTGCAGGGCGCTGTAGGGGAAGAGGCGCAGGCAGGCGGTGAGGTTGCCCTTCCAGAGGGCCCGCAGGCCCTCGGCGCGGCAGAGGCTCCTCCCGGCGCCGCGCAGCCCCCGCCGGCAGTGCCCGCTGCCCACCTGCGCCAGCACCGTCAGCAGCTCCAGCGGCGCCGTCAGGCTGAGGCTCAGCGCTCCCGCCAGCCCGGCGCAGCCCAACCGCTGCAGGGCCGTCACCCGACCGTCCCGCCGCCAG